ATGGTACCTCATTGGCTTGGAAGTGGAAAAGTATCACTGGGAGAGCCCACTTCCAGCAGGCCTCATAGGAGGTGGTCAGCCTTGACAGTCACACACTCCCCCATACCCTCACCTGGTTTGGATGGTCCACAAAGCCAACTTGCACAACTGTGGCAGTGAGTTTCATCTACTATTTACCCATTATTTGAACAAATGTGTTAAATTCCTGAAGCTTGGGCCTATCTGAGCTCTTCATCATTTTAGTATTGTCAGCCTGAGCAGACCAGTTTCTGCTTCTAGGAATATTCCTTTGGAGAAGAGCAGGAGTTTCAACAAACTCTCAAGTGCTCTTCAAACTCCTGAACTGATGAGGCCCTTGAGCTGATTTCTCTAATAGACTCAGGAGAACGGTATTTGGAGCTACAAATTTGCAGAGAGTCAATTTTTCCAAGAAATTCATTATGAGAGTTTGGCATTTCCTTCTACCTGCCCACATTTGTTTTCTCCATCTTCTTGAAGACTGACCTCAAAATAGTTTCTCTATCTCCATCCTTCCAGCATTTTCATCTATGCTCTTCCAGCCTCTTCATTAATTTTAATACCAGGCTGATTTTTCTTTGCCATAAAAGGCTTTTAGCTTCTTTAATAGGTTTTTGATTCCTCCTGAACCTGCTTCTCCAGCACAGAGTAAGGTTTAACAAAAAGGTTTTTTTGGTTTTGGGTTTTTTGTTTTTTGTTTTATTTTTAAAAGCACACCATGTCCCTTAGTGACAAACATTATAAGTAAGACATTCTTGGTCTCTTCTTTCACCAGCAAACCTCAGCAAAGTTGTTGTTGTTGTTGTTGTTTTGTTTTGTTTTGTTTTTTTGGTGTGTGTGGAGGGGCTGGTAACAGTAGTCAGTTCCCAGAACACATTTTTCCTCCTTACTTGAAGACACCTTGAGGACCTCATGTTCAAGCCAGAACTATTTTGGGTGGAAAAGACACAAATCGTTTGATACCTTTGTGTCAGGTAAAATTCTTCCCAAAGAGCCATAGAGTCTCATATCTTCTTTGCAGTTGCTAATGGTTAAGATGCTAATTCCACTACCCTGACCTTGGTCAGCACTCTGAACCTCATACCACTTCTTTTTGAGCTGAGTATCTCTTTAGTTAGAACCATAATCTGAAGGGAAAATGTTTTCGATTAGACAATTTTTAAAAAAGACTCCATGTGCTCCAAAATGATTTTATTCCATCGGACCAACTAGCCTGGTTTCCATTTTGAAAAATAGCAATTACACACAGAGGAAAAAAATACAGTACACTTACCATTTTCAAAACACTGCAGACTCTAAGGCAATACTGTGTAATGAGTGATTTATGATGATAACGGTAAGCATATTAGAGTGTGGTTTTTAAATTGCAAAGTTATGAAGATTATTTAACATCAATTTCCTTGCTTAATTTTAATTTTAATGCAGAGAAGAGTTTCTCAACCTCACCACTACTGACATTTCGAGCTAGATCATTCTTTGTTGTGGGGACTGTCTTATGGTCTCTCCCCCTCTAGATGCCAGCAGAATCCTCACTCCCCCTGGTCTCTCCCCCACTAGATGCCAGTAGAATCCTCACTCCAGTGATGATAACCAAAAATGTCTTCAGATGTTACCAAGTGTTCCCGGGAGTGCACAACGGACCCTGGTTGATAACCACTGATGTAGAGGACCTGGTGAAATACTTTTTTCCTTTGCTCGCTTTTCTGGACTATGAAAATCTTAGAGGCCAATGAAAAATAAGAACACGGGTCTTGGAATGTTCTATTTTGATTCTATTATTATAAAATTCTTACTTTTCTCAATTGATATTTTTAGAAAAACAAATTTCCAAATGGAGCTACAATATATAAACATTGGTCCCTGACACATCTCACCTCTCTGCTAATGGGTCAACAGAACAGGACTTTTCATGAGGTTTTCCAAGAGTTTGCAGGACCCTTCTCTGGCCTAGTTCACTGAGGGCCAGGGTAAAACTACTCATTAACAAAGTGACTAATCCACAGGCCCATTAGTTGAAATAGTCAGCAAGGGGAAAAGAAGAGTAATGTTTCCTGTGTACTGTTTTTTCTTTTAAAGTAGAATGTTCAGTAGTTTAATGAGTGGCCATATCCAAGTTGATTTTACAAATTGGCAAATTTGGATTTTGCAGTCCAGTACTTGCTTCCAGACTAATCAGACCCTGAGTGAAAGGAAGATGATGGCATCCCACCATTCTCTGCTCCAATGACCACTCCTCTGCCCCATTCCCCGCTTTCTCTCTACCCCCTGCTTCCTGATTGGGCTTCATTGCTATTCTGATGGGAGTTGAAAAAGAAGGGCTGGGAAGTGAATGTGAGTTAAAATCTCCTAGAGAGCTTTTTGCCCTGCACAGGCCCTCCAACCATCCCACCCACTCCCCACTTAGCACCCACCAACTAGGTCCTGGCTGGAAACAAAAGGCATAGTCAATTAGGAGAAATTGAGAATAGTTTAACGAAGGGACTATTTGCAGAAGTGTGGTCAGGGTTTAGAGAAGTCCCAAAGGAGACTACAGTAACTCAAGGCAAATAACAGCAGGGAGCTGGTACCACTCCTAAGGCTGGAAGGGCAAAGAAGAGAGTGGCGACCAAACCCCCAGAGGGCAGCAGTGGGAGCAGCCATCCTGTGGGAGCTGTCTGGCAAGCTAGGTTGACCTGGCAGGGAGGGGACCTGGACAATAAATCTCCCAACCTCACTGTCCCCCTGCCCTCCAACTTCCTGCCACTACCACCTATTGGCTAAAGCCAACCAGAAGAGGAAGGACAAGAGAGCCTGGTCCATTTAGTGACACAGTCCACATGGGGCATAAAGCAGACTAGAGGAGGATGGAGAATGGATCTGGGGAACAAAGGGAAGATATCCAGCCCACACAGTAACCCCAAGGAACATCAGAAGCCCTCAGAGTGGGGAAGGATGTCCTTTGCAGACTCTCCCCTGGTAATTTTGCCATGTCCTCGGAGGTTAAGACCATCTGCCCTAAAACCTGATGGACTTTTTCAAAGCTCTCTAATTCCCTCTGAAGGGGTCCGTTGCTGAACCAATCAGAAACAGACCCAACTTCTACAATCACCATTCCATCCCCTGCCTTTCCACTAATCTGATGTTCTTCTGATTTCTACATGAGTCTACAGGGAAATCATTTGCCAATCTATTTTCTTCTCACTTTAGTGTTCACAGCCATTTAAACTCCCTGTAATAATCTTGCATAAAGTGAACATTTCACTTCACACTGGAGGTCGAGAATATTCTTAGGGTGCTTCCAGGACAGGCTTTGGGAAGTGAGCCTTTCTGAGTGCAAAGTAGGCTGGACAACACTCAGAGTTAGGGCTGGGTGGAAATCAAAGCCAGGACTAACTGCTTTCCCATCCCATCTGCTTCTTAGAAAAGTGCAGGCATCATTAGCATGTCAAAAACTTTGCATATGCTTCTGAGGGGTTAGTTTTTGGCTTTTTTATGACATGCACACAGTCGCCCTGTCTTCTGGAAAAGCTTGTATTAGTAGCACTACAAAAATGTGAAACCCTGGAGATCAGGAGAATTCCATTTCCTAGACCACATAAATTGAAAAGTGTGTCCCAAAGCACCTCCACTCTTCAGAAATATCAGTGACGATGTGGTTTCTTGTCAAGTGAATTTTATAAGGCATGATTTATAAGCTAATTTAATTACAGCAATGTCCTCACATAGCAAAGTAAGTAAATCTCACAAAGAAAATGGATATGGGGAACTACTGTTTGTATCATTGGAACGTAATAGAGAGCAGCAATAGGAAGGGTATGTGAATGACTCTTCAGTTTACACTCACATATACAAAGGTACTTGTCCTGTGATGGTAACACCTAGATAAGTTATTAGTGTTCATTAATAAGTAAAACATTTATTTTATAAGCATATTTTAATTTTACGACTGTTACATGTAAAGCAAGAAGTCAAGTTTAACCAACTTCGATGCCTTCAATTTTAAAAGAAGTCAAACTAACAAATATTCACTTTTACAATTGAAGTACAAAGATAATTCTTGAATATTGAAATTGTTTATATTCTTACTGTTTAATTTTAACTATTACATTCACAATTATGTGTATGTTTGATACACACACATATATAATGATGTAGCTCTTATTTTTGAGAAAATTATGCTGCTAAAATTATACCCCAAAAGACCTGAATTCCCTACTACGCTAGAAATTGACAAAAAAATCTCCTAATCCTTGTACTCTTCAGAATCTGCTGTAAATTTCTAATTTTTGGTGGGATGGGGGTGGGGAATGCAAGCAAAGCTATATACGAACCCAGTTTTACATGTAGTGATTTTAGTGGAGTCGGCGATTTATTATTTCAACAAATATTGACTGAGCACCTACTAGATGCCAGTCCCTGCGTTAGATGCTAGGAATATAATGTAAACGTGGCAGGAGAGGTCCCAATCGAATTCTGGTGGAGGAGACAGACAAGAAAACAAATAAATAGGCAGTGTCATTCCAAGGGGTGACAAGTGTTATGATGAAGACACAGCAGGGTGAAAGGGTAGGAAGTGGCTGGGAGGTGGTTGTCTTAATAGGATGGTCATAATAGGAAGGCCTCTCTGAGGAGGTGATATTTGAGCTAATAACAGAATTAAGTGCAGGAGCGAGCCATGAGAATATCTGGAGAGTGTTCCTGGCAGAAGGAATGTCAAGTGCAAAGGTCCTGAGGTGAGAAGACCTGCTTTGCTCTTAAGAGGACTTTGCAAGCTGACTTCAGCATTTGTCAGTATCTGCACTGTCTCACTTCTCATAGAACTTGAAATAGTTAGGGGTTATTTTGAAACATTGAGCACTGTCTAGTTCTTGAGTAGGTTTCTCTTCCATCATCTAATCCTGTCCACTGATAGCCCCAGCTTCTGTGGCTAGAAGGGAGACACAGAATTTACTCTAAAAACAGTGCTGAACTTTAAACTGCTTCTGAAACTTCAACAGGTACATGGCTCTGATTCAACAGATCTGAGGTGGAGCCTGAGAGTCTGCATTTCTAACAAGCTCCCAGGAGAGGCCTATGCTGCCGAACCATGCTTTGAATAGCGAGGACCTCAAAAACTCAGAACTGGGCAGTAAGGAAACCAATAACTCTGGACCAGAAGTCAGGAGACCTGGGTGTAAATCTAGATGATGACATTCACCAACGGCGTGACCTCAGGTAAGTCACTTAGTCATTTCTTCATTTAAATTTTTCTAAATAAAAAAATCTAAAAAATCCAAGAAAAAGTATTACTTTCAGATAAAATCAAATCGTGCCTTCTGTTGTGCACAACCTATAAAACCATAGTCATCTTGGGGACCGCAGAAGAAAATGACAGAATCGTAATTCCTAACAGATATATGAGTCATTTCACTCTATCACCACACAGACAAAACATCCTTTTTTATTTAGTTAGCATAGTCTAATGAACTTAATAGAAGGCCTTGCTCTGCTGGGAACAGTCATAGTTTTCATAGAATACCTCAGAATGTTCTTTTATGAAGCATGAGTCTGCAGCCTCATGATCCCTGCTGCTTTATCGATGCCTCAGGAAGGTGGCAAGACTTTAGAGGGCATAGTTGTGTGGTACATTTAGGGACACTGGGTCCCAAGGACAATGGCTTCAGCTTTGCCAGAGTCCTGTGACCCAAGAATATCTTGGAAGCACCGGAATTGCTGGGCTCGAGAGGGAGCTAAGATCCTGTCCAGTATGAGAAAATTGTCAATGACCATAAAACAACTGTCCAGTTCTGACATGGGGAAGACTCAATAATTGAGTTCAAATTTTTCTCCACCATGGGTATTTAAAATTAAATTTAAGTTAAAGTAATAAAACAATGTTTTTATATTTGGATTTTTGGACTGAGAGTCATTTCCATTACACTAAGTAACATACTTTGAAATGTATGATATGCTAAGCACGCTGTATTATCTCATTTGTCCTCACAACTCTATGACTTAGGTAAAATAATCTCCATTTTACGAATGAGGAAACTAAAGCTTAAAGGAGTTCATAGCTACTTGCCTAAAGTCACACAGCAAGTAATCGGGGGAGCCAGTTGAAGCCAGGAAGCCTGACTTCAGCATCTAAACTCTTAGCCCTTTTACCATGCTTTTAGGTGGCTACCCACCTATCCATAAGGCCACCTAGCCTCCCTCTACCAATTCTCATTTCTAGCTCTCAGCCTACGGAATAGGGTCTGTGATTTATTAAAGGAAGATGGTACTCTGTGGTGTAACAGAAATGTAAGAAATCCTAGCTCACAGAGCACAAGAAAATCATTAATTCTATCCTTTTCAATAGGCAGCCAAGCTTTCCATAATGCAGATGACTAAAAGATAGAGCTGATTGTGTCCAGGAGGGTGTGACTCTACTGCTAAATATCCTGGCTGGTGATGCTCTCCTCTCCTGCAAAGAGTGGGGTTCTTCCAAACGACACTGGTGTTCTCCACTGCCCCCACGGATGCATAACTTAGGTAAGCCTGCCAAAGTCACACACTGTGCCTCAACCAGGGCCTGAAAAGAGCTGGTCCCACACTAAAGGCAATTTGTGAAACATAATTAATCGCAGATTCCTTCTGGAGCTGCTTAAGCTCCTTGATGTCTCAGATGTATGGCCAGGCGGAGTGCTCTTTGGCAGCTGAGCATCCTTCCGCCTCCAGCTGGAGACGAGGTCCAAATGACAGAAACCAAGGGCATCACTCAAATCAAGTTTGGCTTTCTCAGGACTTGGTGGGGCAGGTTCGGATGCATGAATGGGGCTTTGGGGAGCCTATCCTTTCAGTAGATCCAAACCACACAGATCATAGAGATCTATGGAAAATAATGTCTTCCTCATGAGCTGACTGTTAGTGATAGTCTCTATTTGGCTTCACGGCACTCTGGGTGGGAAAATGAACCAAAGAACCTTTTATTTCAGTAAAAGGGACAATGTGATCAGCAAAAGACATGCCCAGTAACTTAATGGATACGCTTTCCCAAGAAAACATTTAGTTTCAGAGAAGCACTGTAGGCTTTGATTCTGCTCCTGTAGCATTTCTAATTGTATTTATATTATTATCAAATCACAAAACTCAGATGGCTACAGCTACCTATAAATTTAAATCTCCCCAAACCCTAACATGTGGCTGTCATATATCCCATTTTATAGATAACTAACCAAGTTAATATAAACCTGAAATGATTTTAATCTTTATCAAGATCAAATCAAACTTACAAGCAGAGAACATTTAACAACATGGATGAATCTCATATATATTGAACCAAATTAAAGAAACCAGATAAGAGAAAGCACATACGATATGATTTTATTGATATAATGTTCAAGAACAGACAAAACTAATGTATGGTGACAGAAATCAGAACAGTGGTTACTTCTGGGAAGGTGGTATTGACTGGAAAGAGGTATGAGTGAGACTTCAGTAATGTTGGAAATGTTCTAGATTTTGATTTCAGGAGTAGTTCCACAGGAATATAGAAATGTACGAATTCATCGAGCTGTACTTCTAAGATTGGTGCACTTTACTATATTTAAATTAACTCTCAAAAAAAGAGAGAGAGAGAGATGAAGCAAAGATGGAAAAGAGTAGCGAGAACATGATCTTCAAGAAAGGAAAAAGACAACCAGACAAGAGTCTTTGCATAACATCATTTCAAATGATTGTGTAAAAGCTTCTGAAATAAACAGGTGCTAAGTTGAACATCTGAGTCTTAAATATACCAAATTATTTTTCAGTCACGTTACTGGCAGGAAACAAACCGAGCATGTAGACTGGGTAAGTTGAGACATGTTTAATAAAGCACGTATTCATAAAGGATTGGGCAAGTACTATAGAGATCTACGGGGAGCGCTAGCACTGGCTCCTTGGCTCCCGTCTCTTGCTAGTGTCGCCCACTGATTGGACCCAATAGGAAGCCCAAGAGTGAGGGAGCCTATGAATGCAACTCCTGCTGGTCAGCCTCCTGGCCACAGAAGGGAGAAGGGGGAGCAAAGTGGAGTGTGGACTTTAGGGAGTGGGAATAAAATACTCAGCACCAGAAGGAAAGCAAACAAATCAGAAGGTTCCCGCCCTGCCTTTGCCAATTGGGCATCTGCTGGGACTCCCGCTTCTTCATTTCCTTCTGGCCAAACCACCTGTCCATTTCCTGCACATTTTACAACACTTTTTCTGTGTTCGATGTCCAGTTTCTGGGTGTCTGTGCCTTTCGTGTGCTTTGACCATTTGATGACATCTCCTTAAACTTATCAGTTTAGTTCACCATAGGCCAGCATGGAAGTGACATTGGAAGTGACACTGGAGCCAAAAAATGAATGATGATGAGGAGCTATCCATGCAGAGATTTAGAGGAGACCATCCTATGCAGAAGGAAAACGCTCTAATCTATGGCGACGGAAATCAGAACAGTGGAAAAAGCTTAAAAGCTCTTTTCCCAAATAAATGACTTGCACTTGAATCTCTATTCTCTGGACCATTCTGTGCAAGTTCGAGGCTGAGACAGAAGAGTGTTTGAGGTGTTTGAGGAACAGACAATGCCCCCCAACATCCAGAGCTGAATGCTTTGTTACTTGTTAATTATTGCAAGGCTCAGCTCCATGATCCAGCACTCAGACCCAGGGAGTCCTTCATCGCTGGGTGGAGAGGAAGCCTTGCTTTCTCTGGACCTGTTTTCTCATTTGTGCAGTGGAAGCTTGCTGGGATCGTGCCTGAGCTCACCTCCTACGCTAAAAAGATATGACTCTTCCATGCTATCAGAAGAAAAGGTGCCAAGTGTCATTAGTTTATTTGAAAAATACTAAGTAGGCACCTACTGTGTTTTCGCTATGGGGCTAGCGTAGCCGATGCTGTCAGTGCAGCAACAAGTAATACACTTGGCGTTCACCATCCCCATGCCTGCTGCTGGCTTCGTCCTGCAAGCACCAGTCACTCTCCAGCCAGGGGCTTTTTCTGGCCGTGGCAGCACACCCAGCCTGCATGCAAGGAAGGCCAGAGTGACTGGGGGCGCCCCAGGAGGAGCCCTGGGCCTTGATGAATGAGAGTGGGAGAGTTAATACCCCCGGGCTCCTCCCCCTCGGGTGGGACAACCCCGACTGTTCTGCACGCCTCCTCCTGGAGCTTCTCGGGGCCGTGGAACCCCGGTCGCCCTCAGAGGTGGCCGGCTCTTTAACACACCTTGCACTGGCTTCTCTTCCTTCCCTGTCTCATTTCCTCACTCCTTGACTGATGCTTTCCCCAAATAAATGATTTGCACTTGAATCTTATTCTCAGATCCACTTCTGAGGGAGCCCCACCTAAGATAGCTAGTCACAGTGAGGGATACCGAGGAGTGTAAAATATGTCTCCACCCACAATGAGCTCACCATCCAGTTAGTAGTTTTTAAAAGTAGATATTAAAGCCTTGAAATATAACTTTTGATCCAGCAGTTCAACTTCTAAGACTATATCTTACTAAAATAATCACAGTTGTGTACAAAACTTAGATACCAAAATGTTCATCTCTCATCAAAGCAATGAGAATAATGGATAAAATTAGAAAATGTAAATGTTCTGTGGCTAAGAAATAATTCAATTAATAATGTTACATCCATACAACAAAACACTACATAGTCATTAAAAACCATGTTGCAGAATAATATTTAATGACATGGACATAGTTCACGAGACACAATTAAATAAAAAAGAGTTAGAAAACGATATCTCCAGAACATATCATTTTTGTCAATAATAATATATATGTGCATAGAAAAAATGCTAGAAAGCTAAAATACCAAAAGATTAATAGTTGCTTATAGTTTCTCATCTCTGGATTTATCTGTACTTCCAAAGTTTCTATGAATAACATGTATTTTCTTACTTTTAAGGCAATGTGTTATTAGTTTACATAGTCTAAGATAAAGATAGCATTTCTCAGTCTTAGCGCTATTGACATTTTGGAATGGATCATTCTTAGTGGTGGGACTGTCCTGTGCATTGCAGGATGTTTCACAGCATCCCTGGCCTCTACCCACTAGATGCCAGCAACACCCTCCAAGTCATAACAACAAAAAATGTCTCCAGACATTGCCAAGTGTCCCCTGGGAGCAAAATCACTCCCAAGTGAGAACCACTGGTCTAAGAGAACCTAAAATGGTAGCAGTTAAAGAGAAATAAGATTATTCAACATCTTTCAGATTTGCATGATTTTATTTTATTTTGAAGAAACCAATACTATGTCAACATTTAACCTAAGTCATATTCATTCCAGAAAATGAGGCCACTTCCTCAAATCATTCATTTCCCATCTGTCCTCACACTGGACAAAGAACATGAGATAAACCAAACCCTGCAAAATGTTTAGTATCAAAGACTTCCCAAGTACCATAATTTACAGTGATTTAACTGTGCTCCCATGTACGTACACGAATGTAACATGCAAGGAAGTTCCCTAAGGGGTTTGTGATAGTTATATTAGCCTGAACGGAGAAGATTCCATCACCAAGTGCTTACTGAGCACCTGCTGTGTGCCCAGCACTGTTCTAGGCCCTGCAGATAACAGAGGAGAACACGATGCACAAGACGCCTACCCTGGAGGGGCAGACGATAAACACGGGCACGTCCACCTGAACGAGATCATTTCACAGAGAAGATAATTAGATCACGTGGAGGAGATTCGCCCAGTAGCACGAAGTGCCTTTAGCTGGCACAGCCTCTCTGAGCACCGAGTGCAGAGACTGTGGCATCTATGCAAGGACCTGGGCATAGACTGCTGAAAGCTTGACTGGATAAGCCCTGAGTCAAGAGCGAGTCAGAGTATTTGAGGGACGGAAGGAGAAGTGGCTGGACTACAGCAAAGAGAAGGAAGGCAAGCGAAGAGGGAGGATGTTGGGGGCCAGGTCAGGGGGTTCCTTGAAAGGTCTTAGCAGGAAATTTCGGTTGCAATTTAATTCCCCCAAGAAGGGGAGAGCAAGATCTGGTTTATGCTTTAGGAAGATCCTTTGACACTGTGTGGAAAGTAGACTGCAGCAGGACGAGAGTGGCACAGGGAGGTTTGCCATTTGACCGTCGCAGTAGCTCAGATGAGAGACGCGGGGTGGTGGCCCAACTAGGTTGGAGGGGTGGAGACGAAGCAGTTGCATTTGGAAGAAGATTTGGGGAAAGGGTTGGAAGCCTGCATGGGCCTCACAGTACTGGTGAGATGAGCCAGCTGTGGGAGAGGAGAGGCGAGAGTGTGGAGCGCTTGGGGCTTGGCAAAGCACTTGGGCTGCCTGAAGCTGAAGCTCCAGGGAATGAAGGAGTGACTAATGACAGACAGCATGAAGGCCAGGGCCTTGTAAACCCATTTTTATTTTTAAATAGGCTAACAGCCAGGAAGTAGGGCATTTTGTAACTTCCTCGGGAGTCAAAGCCAAGTGGCGCCAGGAGCTCCCAGCTGTGCAAGCACCACAGCACACATGCCAAAGCGTGGCCAACTTGTGGGGAGAGCCTCAGATTCTTTCTGAAAAAACCCTATTCGGTGGCTGGTGCCTGAAACTCCATCATTTGAGATTTCTTTTGGTTTAGGTTTTTAGTTCAGGACAAAATGCAAATTCCCTTCCAAAAAGAAAAACGGAAGTCAGCGATGGAGACTGGGCCCTAAGGAGTAGTGTGACCATGAGCTTCAGGGCAGTCAGGAGTCAGATGGGACAGAAGATTCATTCTGTTTTAGAAACAGCTTTAGGGCCGTGGAACTGGAAGTACTGAGGCTCTACAGCGGGTGACTGCTGACTGATCAGGTTTCGATGGAGTGAGTGGAGCTCAGAGAGGAAGAGGCATCAATTAAAACCCGAAAGAGCATGCACAAGGGCAGGAAGGCAAGTGGCCTCCTGTCCGGTGTGCAAATTGGAAGGCTCTTACTTCCTCCTCCCATGGCTGCTGGTCCAGTTCAGCCTTTGGCAGAGTAGGAAGCTCCCTTGGGGGATAAATCCTCAGGGCACTCATACCAGCATTTTCCCCAGGCTCCTCTGGGAGAGTAACCTCATCATTTAATTCAAAAATCAATTTCCAGAACAATTAAATGACAAATAGTTTTGATGCCTTTTGAAAACTCAGTCAAATGTAATTTTCTCACTAAACGTCATCTTTTTTAATAGACTTTGCTAATTTTTCTTATCTTTAAATTCACTAACTTTTAAAACATATTTTCAACTTTGGAAGGCATTTAAATGAAACTCAACGTTATTTCAGTCTCAGTCACATTTTCCTCTACATTTCACCCTGACCCGCCAACTGCAGGATACAGAAGCCCTGGGGTTGGAGCTCAAAGGCTCTAGATTTTTATTCTATTCATGTTGTCTTCCCTCCATTTATTCCACCTTCGCTGGCCTCACCAATTTATTCATTCTTTCTTTCACTTATTTGATAAATATTTATTGAATTTCTATTATGCATCAGCTACTGTAGTAAAGGCTGGGGAGGTAGAAAAGTTAAATATTTGGTCTCTGCCCTAGAAGACCTGATAATGGTGGGTACAAATAAGTCCTTAAAATGAAAAAATAAGCACTATAATTAAGATATGTCTAAAACACTGAAAATATATATGTGCTAAATTTTAATTTACACTTTAATTTACTACGTAAATAAATCCTATAAATTTATCACTACATATTTCATAATAATATCTTTTTAGGATAAATGCCAAAAAATTCCCTTCCCCCAGCTCATTTTTTATTTCTTATGTTAGGTTGCCATCTAGTGGAATATTCACGTAACTACAGCGCCAATTGTTCTATTTCTTGTGTTAGAGTGCCATCGTGTGGAATTAATATGTAACTACAGATGTGGCTTTTTCTATTTCTTGTGTTAGAGTGCCATCATGTGGATCTTTCTTGTAATTGCAGAACAGATTATTTATTTATTTTTCTGGTGTTATAGTGCCACCTAGTGGACTTGTCAAGTAATTGCAGAGAAGACTTTTTGTTGTTGTTTTGGGGTTTTGTTTTGTTTTGTTTTGTTTTGTTTTGTTTTGTTTTGTTTTGCCTATTACTCAGTTTGAGCGCTGCTGCCTGGAATGTTCACGTAATTCCAAATCAGACTTGTTTTTCCAAAAGTGTATACCCAACTTTCCAAAAGTTTGTGTTACACTTCATTGCTTTTACAAAAGACTTACATTAGTACCTGTTTTTACTAACCAAAAGAAATCCAAAGAAGATTTTTGCTTCTAGGAAAAAGGCGAAGTGTGAAAATTGCATTCGACATTTGTTTTGCAGCAAGCCATTATCGGTAAGGCTTTCGGTTAATAGGAAGATACTAGTAACTGTTTTGGGAGCATCAAATATTATACTCAGATTTTCGACTGCATGGGGGTTGGCACCCCTAACCCCTCTCCTTGTTCCAGTCAACTGTGTGTTATGTGTTTTTATATGCAAACATAAAGGAATCGCTGTAACGGGAAAACATACCTGATTTGTAATTACATGAAAATTTCACCAGGTGGCACTCTAACCTGAGAGATAGGAAAAAATTCTCTGATCTGCAATTGCAGGAAAATTCCATCGGGTGGCAGTCTAAGCAGACTATTAAGAAAAACTTATCTGTGTGGAATTACATGAAAATTCTACCTGGTTAATAGGAAACAAAAACTCTGCAATGACATTATAATTCCACACAATGACACTCCACATAAGAAAGAAAATAAATAATGAATTCTGCAGTTACATAATAATTCCACACGATGGCACTCTAACACAAGAAATAGAAAAAGTTAAGCTGTAGTTACATGAAAATTCCACAGGGTGGCAATCCAATATAAGAAATGGATGCTTTATCTAGATTTCTTTTGTGGAGTGGGAGCTGAGAATTTGCATTTCTGATGATTCCACAGGGTGGCAATCCAATATAAGAAATGGATGCTTTATCTAGATTTCTTTTGTGGAGTGGGAGCTGAGAATTTGCATTTCTGATGATTCCACAGGGTGGCAATCCAATATAAGAAATGGATGCTTTATCTAGATTTCTTTTGTGGAGTGGGAGCTGAGAATTTGCATTTCTGATGATTCCAGGTTTGTGTTGATGCTACGTGTCTGAGACTGCACTTTGAGAACCAATGAAGTACCCACTCCTTAGATTTTAGTTTCACAGATAACTGGGTTTTTTTCCTGTATAATTTCTACAACTGTTCCATTTTACAGTTGAGGAACTATAGAAAACCTGTCTCCTGAATCTTTCCAAAAACTCAGAATACCTTTTTTATTAAATCTACCAGTCGCTTTTGATATTAGTTTTTGCGAACTTATCTAAGCCACTTTACAATAGGGTGCCATGTTTCTATTCCTTTCTCTCTGTACCTCTTGTTTTAATATGCAACTTAGTGGCTAAACACAATAAACTTTTATTATCTCACAGTTTCTACGGGGCAGGGATCCAAAAGCAGCTGAGCTGGATGTTTTGGGCACAGAATCTCCTGAGAGTGCAGCCCAGACATAAGCTGGGCACCAGTCCTCGGAAGGTGTGCCTGAGACTGGAGGGGCCATTTCCAGCTTCTGCCGGTGGCTGTGGGCACCACGTGAGCCTCTCCGCAAGGCTGCTCAGACAGAGGTGGCCGAAAGAGAAAGCTGCAGTGCCTTTACAACCCAGTCTCGGCAGTGACCGATCATCACTTCTGCTGTATCTAGTGGTCACACAGACCAAGAGGAAGAGGCAAGGGTGTACCAGGAAGTGACACCCCTGGGGTGGCCTTGGAGGCCACCACGCACAGACGGAATCCCATTCTGCAGAGGGATCCCGGGTGAGTGATATGTCCGTTAAGTCCTAGAAGTGCTGCCAATGAGGCAAATACCGTCCTCCTGCGGGGGGAAGGAAATCTTGTTTCCCGCTTTGCGCTTTCTCCGCTTCCTCTCACTTCTCCCTCTTTCAATAATCTCTCTAGAAAGATCACCACTTT